TTTTTTTTCTGTTTTATTTAACTCGACGAGCGTCGAAAATCAATTCCTAATATTTAATCATTGAAACCGAAACTAGAAAGCTGAATTAATTGTTTGCACATTATAGAAATAATTTCTTTATACACTTTCTAAGTACGACGCAAAATATTTCGTCAAAATAAATAATCGACAAGTGAAAAACGACTTCTTTTATTACTTTAAGCATAAAAATACAGCGGAAAAGAATCTCCATAATGAAATTAATTGGAGAAAAGTTAATTCTTCGATTAACAAGTTAAGCAGTCTCGCGAAATCTGTTTTAAAAGCGTAGAAACCCAATTGCTATATTTGCGATTAATTTCAGCTGAATTGATAAACTGGAGTCGATCTCAAATGTATTTCGTTTCACTGAGACGAAAATTTCGGGAAGCTTCATGAACCGCGCTCGCACAAAGATTCTTACTTCGGCTAACTTTGTTGGCGCGTTATCTGAAAGTTGGCATATTATGAAGAAAGACGTCTCCGCTTTGTGTGTTCCATCTCGCAAAGAGAGAGAGAGAGAGAGAGAGAGAGAGAAAGACAGAGAGAGAAAGATAGAGAAAAAGAGTGAGAGAGAGAGAAAGAGAGAGAGAGAGAGCAGTAGATATCGATGAATATCCCGCCGAGCGCATCGATGTCACAGATAAAATACGATCTACGAAACATACTTGGTCGACTTCGATACACACTAAAAGAAAGCACGTTCGCACAAACGTAGAGTACGAAACACTGGCAAAATGGTATATATACCGTTACATGTACATATAGAGATCATATATATAGATACACATATATATGTACGATACACGTGTCAAGAATTATATATGGTATCCGTATAGTAAATCTGATCGAAGCGTGCAAATTAGGCGTGCAAGAGAGAAACAGCGTGCAGGATCGTATAGAGTGTGTGAAGGCGTAGAAAACAGGAGGAAGAGATCTGGTGACAGAGAGATGGAAACAGGGAGACAGAAACAAAGAATGAAAGTGAGAAAGCCAGAGAGAAAGAAAGAAAAACGAAGAGAGAGAGACAGACAGACGGACAGATAGACAGACAGACAGACACAGAGGAGAAGAAAGAGAAAGAGAGAGACAGACAGACCGAGAGAGAGAGAGAGAGAGAGAGAGGGAGGGAGATAGAAAGAGAAATAGAGAGAGAGGAAAATAGCGAGACAGACAGAAAGAGAAAGACAGAGGGGCAGAGCAATAGACAGACAGATAGGCAGACACACAGGAAGAAGAGACAGAGTAAAACCGGAGGACGATCAAAACCGGAAGTAAAGAAAGAATTGAAAATTCATAGCGCGTCCAGCGGGGGAGAGACGGCGTGACTCGCGGCGGGCGGGATCGTTTCGTCGATCTAAATTGAAATCTGCTAATCCGCGTGGCGGCAGCGTTAGGCACGTCTCCGCGCGGACGGCGGAGATATCACAATGGCCGAGGATCCGAAAGGAGAACGGTCACGTGGCGATGGTCTATCGCCGACTGGACGCGCTGTCAGGCGTGCATCTCGGACTAGCATGTAGCAGAAACAGGTCGTTCCGAATGACTCCGGACACCATTGGGTTCGAAATCATCCCGGACGATCCTCCAGTGTACTCGGTGCTTAAGAAGTTCGAACCGCGAACGACGACAGAGGCGAAGAACGGAAGAGGTGACGGAGGGGTGGGGCCGCGAGGATCGCGTAATCGGCGCGGGTCACGCGGCCGATCGATCCGGATCGACGCGTTTCCGAGCGGCGTGGATTTCCGCCGAGGAGACTTCCGGCTCGGCAGCCGGGGCGAGCGGAAGCCGGTTCTTCTCGGGAGCGCCACGGGAAAATTGATCATCGCGGCGCGGTACGCGGCCTGCACGCTGATTGATCGATCGCGCCGAACCGTCGACTCGCGCGACCGCTGTTTCCTTACCGACCGATCAATCAGCCACTTTCCTCCGGCCACGTATAATCCGTCCGACCGGAAAATCGCCGGTCCATCTTTATTACGTCCCGGGAATTAGAAATCGCGGCCCGGAGAGGCGGGGCCCCCGGATCGATCCGCGCCCGTCGGAGACCGGCTTCGGCCGTTCCCGAGACGGTTTCGACGGATAGAGGCGTACGCTCGGGTCGGGGAGCATCGATCGGGCCGACAGCGCGGACAGGTCGGACGGACGATCTCGTCCGTCCGACGATCGACTCCCAATCGATTCTCTTTCTCGTGGAGTAAACGAACGGAGAAGCTTGTTTAGAGGTGACGGGAGAGCGTGCAAGAAAACGATATGCGATCCGTCGACGTATCGCGGCATGCTGATGCGCCAGGATCGCTGGAACCGAAGTACAACGGACGGGGAGTCGGGAAGGGGTTGTGGTTCGATCTCGTACAGGGTAGAACAAGTTTCCACGTGTACACTAAGCATGCAACTGCGACGACGGTGGAGGGATGACTTCGACGCGAGGCACCGTTTCGAGGAGCGTTCTCGATGCGTGGAGATTGCGGCGAATGGACTGCGGATGTTGCGCGTTCCGCGCGACGAACGAATCGACGAGAACGTTTATACAATTTGGAGATATCGTTTCGTCACCCGTTGCATTGACTCGGACGTGAGATAAATGTCTACGTAATTTTTGCGTCTTCCAATCGGCGAGAAGAAGTCGAACGTTGCATAGAAATCCGCAGTCCGGCGGCAAAGAAAAACGAGACTCGGGGTGTACATCGGGAGTGCGAGCAGGTTGCCGACGGGATCGTGGCCTCTGTCGTCGTGCAGCGTGAACGAAGTAGTACACCAACGGTGTGCGTTTACCGTTGACGAGAAGGAGTGCAGAATGAGCGACGGTGGCAGCGCCATTGGCCACGCGACAGGTGTACGTGCCATTGTGCTCGGGTGCGATCGTGCTAATGCTCAGGGCGCTGGTAAAAGCGTCATTTTGCCGGACGGTAATGTCCTTAATCGGGGACTGTTCGCCGTGCCCGTCGGCCTTGGGGCCCCGCTTGGGCCCCGAAATCGCGTCCCCATTACTGGCCGGCGCCTGAACGCGGCCATAGCTGGACGACGGGGCATCCAGCGACGTCCTGATCGTCTCTATCGGGACGTTATCTTTGAGCCACGTGAACGTCAGTGGCAGATCGCCAGTCACGACCACGCACTGTACGCTAGTACGGTCCTCTACGCTTAAATCGCGAGCAAAACTGAAAGGCGTGATTTTAGGTGGCACTGAAAGAACAATACAAAGACAAAAGGTGGCATTCCCAGTCAAAAGCGGTTTCAGATTCGCTAGAGAATCGCGTTCGGTAAGTGGAAGTTTGTGGGCTGGGGACAAGGGGACATCGGCTGGCGGGTGATTTCGGGCAGGTTCGAGTTCGTCGTCGGAAGTTTCGTGGAGGTACAATGAAAATCGGAAGAGATAGAGACAGACCGAGAGGATAAGAGAGAGACAGAGAGTCAGAGAGACGTAGAGAAGATAGAGAGACAGACAGAGAGATATAGAGAGAAAGAGAAAGAAAGAGAAAGAGAGAGAGAGACAGCACGCACGTCGAACGGACGGTCGTAATCGTCCACCGGTGCTGTCGGATCGTTTTTCTACGGATTAATTATCGACCTGTTTTCCGGCACCGGTGTCCCCGCGGAAAATTCTCTGCTATCCGCGTTCATTGAACACCCGTTTCACCCGGAATAATAAGAATCCGACAGCGCCGGCCTTGAGAGAAGCGAGTTTTAGAACACTCCGACGGCCGAAGAATATCCGACGAGGTCACGCTGATTTTTTCATTTCTAATCAGGATCGGTCGTTTCAACGAAGTTAATGACAATGCTTGCGACAACGTCTCACTGCAAATTTCATACAAAAATGGCATCTTGCAAACTTTAATTTGAAAAATGCATCTTTCCGTATCCTCGAATTTCGGTGCCTCGATGGCTTCGATATCAAATCAGCATATTGGATAAGATTCCGGATTTTTAAAAGAATCGATCTCGCGTTTTCTTGCAGCTACAAATTCGACCATCTCGTCCGCCTATATTTTACTATGATACCTTCGGATACCGATCGCTGATACGTCGCTGACGACGACGAGCCATGCCCGACGAGAGCTCGGCCGCGTCGGCGGAGAGGCCGTCGTATCGCGTCGCGTGCAATTAAAGCCGCGTTAATTAAATTTCTGTAGCCCGTCGACGGTCGTGGCCGAAGCCTCGAGGCAACGCTTTTGAGGCTGCCCGGAAGAATATTTTCTTGCGACGGCGGGCAAAATGCTCTTCGCCGGAACGTCGAGCGGCCGCGCGGAGTATCCTAATGCGCGGCATAGTACAAAGAGTATCGTTTCATTGCGGTTTTCTATGTAAACGGACAGAGACTCCGGAGACAGGACGACACGCGTTGCGGACTTCACTGGAACTGCCGTGTTTGTTCTACACTGGAAAAGTTAGTCTGCCGGCAATCTTCCCCGGAAACGTTGCACCCGCTGTCTCGAAAGCTGTGCTTGTTTAGGGAAATTCAACGACATTTAGGCTGAACTGCGAGCTTCGCCGAGATTCCCAAATTAATGTTACCCTTCAAGTGGCGCGCGCGACGGACGCGGAGCAATTACTCGACAGAGTTCCCAGCCCCGACACCAATTGGTCATGAACGCGACTTTGTCATCATTTTTAACGCGATTAATCCGCGTTAGCGAATCATTCGGAGCCGCGTCTGTTGGCCGAGCGCGAACCTTTTAATAGCATTTCAACCAATTAGCTGTTGCAATCTATTTGGAAAGTGTGTAAGTTACTGTAATTATTAGATTGCATCTCGAAACAGTAAAAGCGTTTAGAGAATTTAAAAACGTTACGGTGTTATTTGAACTTCATTAAAATTATTAAGAAAAGAAACAAATGTTCTCGTAGCTCCTGCATCTTGCAATTAATGCAGGCAGTTTTCATTTTGCAGAGAAAAATCCGCAGAATTTCTCTCTACATATTTGATTTCTTTAATTTTTCGTTTAATCACAATACTTTTAGAAAATATATCATTTAATAAAGAATATCAAGGTATATCCATTTTTCTTGTTCGCATTAGCATTGCACTCGGTTAAACGAAACACCCTGTATATTTCTTCACGACTGTAATTAATTGAATGTTTTCATCCCAGCAAACGTTGTAATAAAAATTAAGTAATAATCGAATCCTTCTATTAAGGGATGAATCGGATTTTCGCGTTTGAAAGATTCGAACACGTGGACTCGAGTGAGCCAATTTCCGTTCTAAATGCTATTAAACGATTTATCATGCTGTCGAATAAGATCGTACCGTACATTGTTTCGGCACTGCAACGCCGAACAGACGGTCTATTAAAAAACCTTCGAAACAATTACACTCATCTGCGGTTTTCCCGGGGAAAAAAAACGTTCGTACACATCGCGCGAAACATTTTTATCAATTCTACAATTTCCTCTCGGAATGGTTCCGCGCACGGTTTATAACGTCGAATGGGAAACGCATGAATCGTGTTTCGTTGCCATTGTCGACACGCGCGACTATGACGCGGCATGGGTGCACGTTTTTCCGCTCGATATCAAATAGCCGACGCTTTACGGATTACACGTAACGAGGGATTGCGTTGCACGCGTCGCGCGACGTTTAAAAAGATGATGATAACAAAGCCTGTCGTTCACGGACCAATATCAAAAGCGACGATCGCAGAATGAAAATTATCGGCGCGCCGATAAATAATTGTAACTGGAACAACGAGCCCGCGTTTCTCGGCGCTTCGAAAATCTCGTTCGCGGAATTATGCTCGCCGAGCAGCGGCGGCCGATCGAAGAGCGCGGGGTACGCGCGAGCCGTTTAAACGTAATTCGCAAACGCTTTTCTCGCCGGTAATCATATTCGTTTCACTTAATTCACGTTTTCCCGCTATCGGCCGTTCCGTGTGCGAAGCCTCGGAACGATCGTAACGCGTTGCCTTCGCCCGTTGATCCGCCGAGTGATAAACCACTGTTACGAACAGCGGCCGGCGATTGATAATAAACCCTGTCGGATTTAGTCGGCCAAAATTATATTTTTTTCACTTAGTGCGTTCACTGTCGGTTATCTCGTGGTAGGCGACCATCAGGACGTCATTACCAACGAAGCAAAAGGATTTATTTACTTATTCTTATTTTTTATTTGCTATTATTTATATATTTAATAAAAAAGAACGCGTAGAACAGATTTCTTCAAAATAGGCTTGGCAGTCAATGCGTTAAACTACTAATTTATTTATAGTACTTTACGCCAGATAAAAAGTAATTATAAACGAATAAAATTAAATATAAACAGATAAGAATACTTAATAATGAGTAAAATATGAGATTGTAGCGGCTACACTGTATGTGTCTAGATCTGCAGAATAAGCATTTTATAGAGGTCAACATTGCTTAATAAAAAAGAGAAGAAATGATAGCAGATAAAAAATAAAAGGTAAAAGAAAGTATAACAGATCCCTTCCAACAACAAAAATATCGATTGAGAAATTAATGGAAAAGTGACGCTCTTTGAATCACTTTTACCGCATTGAAATTATTGCAAATTTGATTGAATCTTTTACAAATCCATAGAAATGATCCACGACTGTTTTTCTTTCTCAAACATTCGCCGTACAGCAAAGTTATGGGTTTCCGAAGTCCGCTTCTGCAGAAGACACCGAAAAAGTCATAACTAGCGTGACACGAATATAATCCGGCCATATCTCTGCACGGAAGGGGGGAAAAAAGAACGAAAAGAAAATTTGCGATTTATCGTCTCCCAAACTGCTCGTCTTTTCCAGGCAACACCTCGATTCTGCCTACGACTACGAGTTTGACGGAACTCGACGTTTGGCCGGCTAAATCCGGCAAATAGCCCACTTTGCGGCGGCTCGGCGCGGCGTCCGGCAACAAATTTTCCCGTCGAATCGGTTTTCACTTTTCCCGTGGCCGAGCCAGCGCTCGCTCGAGCGCCGCGCGAAATTCCCGAAAAATTGTCACCCCTTTCGCGCGCGCGCACGCGGACCGCATTAACGAACTCTCCCGCGGCCAAATCGTCCCCGATTTTTTTCGTAACGCGTTTTCCCCTTCCCGCCGAAACGACAAGCTTTCGCAATTAATTCCCGCGCGCGATGAGCAAGCACATCGCGTCGATGAATTCCCACGAACATCTTCCTGTCGATGGAGCACAACGGCGGGCTCCGATTATCGACGGAACTTTCGGAAAACGATCGATCGATCGATCGATCGATCGACGCCGCTGCATCGGTTCTCAATTTTTGCAGTGGTAACGATCGACTGGGCATTGTTAAAAAATTCGTTGCGATTGGAAAAATCGCGGACCCGCGTTACGGAGGTCTTTTTTTAACGGGAGGAAGAACGACGAAGTCTGACATTGTTAACCCTCGTGCACCGTTCTTTCTTTTCATTGTATTCTTTGCGTAAGAACTTCTATTTTTTCACGATTACGCTTTATTGAAACAAAAACGATATAAAAGCGATGCCGATTCTTTCAATGTCTATTAATTTTCTCTTCTGCTGCACTGTAACGAGTCGGACTCTTCATGAAGATTTCATACATATGTTATATAAACAGGGTGTTCCATAAATGTCATGATCGCATTTTCGCTCAGGGAAAAGTTACTTCAAATAATCGCAGGAATCCCTATTTCCCGCAAAATGCGATAATTCTGGGACACCCTGTATGTTTATTTCGTTTAAAAATCGTGCAGTGCTCTCCTTTAACCCTCTATGTATCTTCTCACACTTTTATATCAATTGATGTAACTTGAACCGCAATGTTTAGATATAAATTAACGACCGATCTAAGATTTAGAAAAGAAAAAGATGAATTTATGGAAAAAGATGCGTGTGATAAGATTTAAAAATTGCAATCCGTAACTAGTAAAAATTGTCTACGTTAATCATAGGAAATTTCGATGAAAATTGTTTGCATGAAAATAATTTTTCTCTTTTAATAATTGAGAATTCTCTTAATTCTCTTTTCATAATTTTAATTAACGTAACACAATACCCTCGAATTCGTCTAATGTATCTCCTCTCCACATTTGACATTTCCGTCATAAATGCATCAAATTTACCGATTATGCACAATAAAATGCCTAAACTGATTGTGAAGGAGAAAAAACAGAACGAGTTCACAAATTAATCGACATTTAAAAAAAACATCGCCAAATTAGTATCAAATTAGTGCTTCAAAATTACACCGAGCTATA